TGGTCTTTCAACCTCACTTAGCTCCTTAAAGCTGACAGTGACAGAGATTTATTAACACTGAAACCATAGATGAACCTAAAGAAGCAGTTCCTCAAGATGAGGTCAAGTTGAAATGGCAAATAGGATCTGCATATGGTGAGAGATCCCGTATCTCCTCTCCAAATCTTCCTTTTCCAGGACTGACCAAAAATGGGAATCAGGGGAAAGAACAGGGAGAACAAAATCTCCTATTTTCATCAGAAGCAAGCTGTTCCATTGGCTCAGTGGACTTTCACTTAGCAACACCTAAGTTTATCCAGTCGGGAGATAAACAGATAGCAATAGATAGTGACAAATAGTCACTATGGTAGCTCTATACTGAATAACATCACTGAATCTTCCTAGGAAAATTAGAAAAGCCACAATCACTTTTTCAAGCATGAGACATCTTAGGGATTCCTGGACTCTTGCAGAAGACAGGAAAAATACATGATGCTGCAGTGACATAGCACGTAATACCAGAGAAGCATGAGACAAAAGACTAGAGTCACACTGTGAAACAAAAGACACGTGTTAACACATGTTAACACCTGTTAACAAGTAGCAGAAAATTTCTTTGGATTGAAATTGCAAGCTAAAGCAGAAAAATGTGATATAGGAGTCATCTAACCAAAATGGTGACAACTTAACAGCCTGAAGGGAAACAAGAGGTTGCAAGGCACAAAACACCACAGTAATGGTAAATTTAACTATTCCTATGTAGACTAGATAAATAGTATAGCAGGATGTGATACGAGTGAATGCTGATGGCAGCACATAGCATCGATAGGTGAAAGGGTACACTTGCCATGCAGTAGGAGACTCTCTAGTGGGGTGTATTACTGTGCTGGAAATGTTTGTACTTCCTCTATGGCCTTCAAAGGCACATCTGAAGGATGTCCCTTTGCTTGGGAAGAAGCAGTTCAAGGTAATTTGAACCTCAGAACACCAGTAATTGTAAGTCATCTTATCCATATTGTTTACTTCAGTTTGCATGACACCATCTGCCAAAACTGTTCAAGCACTAGTCCTCTCTGTCTCTCAGCCTTTCCAAAGCCTTCAGACCTCTCATGCAAAACATCAAGAGAATGAAGCTATTGCTCCTTATATCCCTCACTAATGAGACCTAGCTTCTTGTGCCACCCAGCAGAGAATGTCAAAGTATACAAAGTAAGAAAAATCTCCAAATGGTTCTTGCCACCTCTGGTGGACAGAACAAGCACCATTCAAATGTCACTAAGAGCAGTCAGGACTGGCTGAACTGCTCAGCAGTCAAGATGACCACCACCAAGTATTTTTCCACAGAAAGGGGCCTTGTCTAATGTCAGAGGAATAAACAAATGAAATAGTAGAGCATGAAACTTAAGCAGTCCAGCCACAGTGGTATGACCACTTTTCCTCCATCAAGACACAGTTAAGGACAACAGTATTGAATGCATCAGATAATCAAGAGTACAGCAGCATCCACAGTCTACAGTTATTAGTAGTTATCCTTATCTCTCTTGTCAGCATTAGTTGAAATTCCCTCCTTAGGAATCTGCTCATATTATTTATAGGGGATTTATTTACATAGCTAGTCAGAGACCAAATATTTCTAATTATATCTAGTAGCATCACTTCCCAATTTTCAGTTCATTCAGTTTGCCAGACAATGCTTTGCCAAAAACAAGGTTTGCCAAAAATTCTTTGCCCAAAGACAGAGGGAGGCATCTGCAGCATGTGCTGACCAGGCTCTATAAAAGAGACCTTGAATCTGGGTTGTCCCATCTCCAAAGAAAACTTCATGGTAAGTGCATGTCTGTGGCTGGCAGAAAGCAAGTGTCCCTTCAGTCCACATGTCCCACTTCAGCCCTGCTGTCCTGGTGTATGTGTCTGTGTCTGCAAGGATTTAATATCTGTAAGATAAAGAATGTTGTTATTTTTACTTTCTGACCTGCCAGTGGAATTCTGTGCAGCAGTAACGAGGGATCTGCCACTTCTGCTTTACAACATTGATTGTCTTCCAGCCTGCAAGGCATCTTCTCATATCACAAGCGGTAAGAGCCTAATTTACTCACAATTAAGGGACAAAAAAAAGGTGGTAGATTTCTGTAGAACAGATTTCTTCATAGTGACAAATTTCTGTAGAATGTTGTGGGCAATTGCTGTGTGTCCACATAGTCCTGGCTGCTGCTAAGTTATGGTAAATACAGCATGGTTTGGTTGGCTACTCATGGCAAGAAAGCTCTCCGAAGTGGCTGTACTTGAAGCCACTAGCTACTGATATCATGCCAGGGAATCTTGGGGATTCCTTACATTTAATTATGGATCAGTGAAGTAAATAATACATTCTGGCACAAAGTCCAGACAGATAGAGCCAGGCAGCAGAACAGACTATCACAAAATCTTAAAGGCTTGTGACAAATTATATGTACTACTGTATATGATACTGGCTAAAAGTTTGTATGAAAATACTTTTCAGATGATACTGCAGGGTGATGATCTGCCTGTGAGCTTTGTATGAGGAAACTTGATAAAAATTTAAAAGTCAACTAACTAAACAAACAAACAAAAAAGATGTACTGCTCCTATTCCTCTGAAACAAAACAGAGTAAAGTGGAGGATCTGCATGCTGCTAGGAATCAATGTAAATGTTAACGTTTGGTTGGGTTATTTAGGTAACTGAAAGTCATTACATGACATTTAATTAAGTTGCTTATTCGTATGATTTCCTAGGAATTCAGGTGCTTTCTTTTACTAGATGTGCTATTTCCTTAGAAATCCAGTACTGTATTTAGATATCCAGCTTTGATTTGTAAATTCTTGAACTAAGGTTTATAACTTTGCATATAATTCTTTTCACAATTAACATACAAAGAAATAGTTGGTGATGCAGTATTTTGACTTATTATCTGTCCTTATGTATCATTTGCTCAAATGCTACTTCCCAGAATTGTCACTTACAACAGATTTCTATCATTGTCAAAGAAATATCAGTGCAGTCAATTTAAGGTGAGAGACACACTAAAATTACAGCATGAGATCAAATAGGAAGTTAACTGGAAACTAGACTTTAAAGTTCTTGGACAACAGAGCACGGGAGGAAAAGTATTTTGTTCAGACAGAAGAGATCTCTAAAATTTCTAGTTTGACTTTCTTAAATCATTGAAATTGTTCTATTGTCTACACCCAGGATTATTTCTAATTTAGACCTGTGTATATGTCTCTGTTTAAACCCAGAAACAAATTTGTTTGTATCTCTAAGGCACCTAAAGGACACAATTTGTTAGGCAAAGAGGTCACAGAAAGCACTGATACTGCTGATAGCACAGTCAACATTCACAGGTCCTTTCAACAGTAAGAAAGCAGTTTTACACGTTTAACTCCCACTTTACAATCAGATTCTATACATAAAAATGAGGAAGCTGGAAGCTGAGCTTTCTTTAGCCTGAGGATGTTTGATTTCCCCCACTCATACTTTAGACGATTGCCCTTGCCACATGGTTGAAGGCGTTCTTCATCACAGGACCTTTCTTTCCGCTGGAGGACATGTGGCATTGTGAAACAAAGAAAGCAACATTCTTCAGTGTGGCATGAGGAGAAGCAGGATGGTAGTTGCTTGGAAGGGTGTACCTGTTTGTGAAACTGCATTTGGTGTTTCTAGCCCTAAAACTCTGCTTTGAGAGATGAAGTACACACATTTCAACCACTAATGTTACCATGTTGGGCTGCTTAAACATTTTGTGATGAAAAGCAAACAACTCTAGTGAAGTATTTAGAGCAGCAGCGAAAGACACCATGCGTTAGTTAGTCCTCAGAACACCTTCTGGACTCACCTATCTGTATTTTGTGTACTGGCAAGTGGGGCTTTTTGGTTTGGTAACTCCAGGTAGCTGTGAATATCTTCTTCCTCTGGCATGGTGCTTCACTGTGGCGCTTCAGTTCTGCTTTGGAATCCATTGCTTAATATTTACCTGCAGAGGGACACAAAGCACTTGCAGCATGCTTTCAAAGGTTTGAGCTTAAAAAATTACAAGTGCTTTATTGATGTTGCAGTCAATCACAGCAGCGTTTCTCCACAAATGCTTTCATTTAAAATTTTCCTGGTGAAATCTCCAATCTTCTGGGATCTAGTAACCTAACTGGAAAAAGCAAGGTTTTTGAGGAGGGATTGGGAGCCCTAGACACAGAACATTAAAAGAATGTAAAAGTTACCCTGCTTAGCTTGACAAGGCGTGACCTGGCTGTCATTTGGCTAGAAAACACTTCTGCATAAAAGGGTCATCTACCCTGGTGCACGTGTGTCAGCAGTGTGCCTTTGGGGGAATGAAGGCCAAGTATATTGTCAGGCAGTCATAAGTCATAAAAGGAATTTGATTCTTCACCTGCATTCAGCTCCCACGTCTGGAGCACTGTGTTCAATTTGGTGCTCCCCCATGGCAAGAAAGACACTGACATTCCTGAGGGAGTTCAGTGGAGAATTTCCAACATAGGCAGGACCAAATGCTGTATGAGGAGAGGCTGAAAGAGTGAGGGTTGTCGACTCTGGACACAATATTGAAATGTGCTTGTCTTATTTCTATTTTTAACAAAAAGTGGATGGTTATACGGTAAAAAGAGCCAGACTGTTCTCATATGTGCAGCGTGAAAGCATGAGTGACAACAGGTCTGTGTTGCAGCAGTATAAATTTGATCAGGTATGAAAATGAAAAAATTCACAGGGTAGTCAAACATTAAACAGGGATGCAGTGGGAATGAAGAATCTATATGCTTGGAGACAATCAAAATTTCACTGGAAAATGCTCTGGGTAATTTGATCTGATATTTGCCCTGCTTTGTATGGAAAGATGGACCTAAGAACTGCCTTCGCAAATCACACATTCTATAACGTTGTTTAAGTTTCTCAATAAATTGTGTGGCAATGAAGCAAGTTGACTTATTTGGGCATCACATCTGCTCTTCTATAGGGTTCTTGGCTGACGAGCCCTCCATAAACTGCAGCCATGTCATCAGACGCTGAGATGGCCGTCTTTGGGGAGGCAGCTCCTTACCTCCGAAAGTCAGAAAAGGAGAGAATCGAGGCTCAGAATAAGCCTTTTGATGCAAAGTCATCGGTCTTTGTGGTGCATCCTAAGGAATCATTTGTCAAAGGGACAATCCAGAGCAAAGAATCAGGGAAAGTCACTGTCAAGTCTGAAGGTGGAGAAGTGAGTAAGAAACAAGACTGAAGGACACCATTTGACTCTCACTCTCAGCTCTTAGCTGACATACATGCATCTCTCTATTCCTTGGCAGACCCTGACCGTCAAGGACGATCAGATTTTTCCCATGAACCCTCCCAAGTATGATAAAATCGAGGACATGGCCATGATGACCCACCTCCACGAACCCGCTGTGCTGTACAACCTCAAAGAGCGTTACGCAGCCTGGATGATCTATGTAAGTACCAGCAGCAGTCTTCCTCTGGGTAGCTGGCAGGAACTGCTCTGCCAGGCTAAGTGGAAGCCAATGTGCTGTCTCACTTCCTCATAGACCTACTCGGGTCTCTTCTGTGTCACTGTCAACCCCTACAAGTGGCTGCCGGTGTACCACCCGGAGGAGGGGGTGGTCTACCGCTCCACACATCTTCTCCATCTCTGACAACGCCTATCAGTTCATGCTGACTGGTGAGTGGTCCTCTTTCTCAGAGGGATTGTACCATGAAATTCTCTGAAGGAATACTCTGTCTCAGTAATATGAGGAGACTTTTTTAGAGCTTTCATGGTTCCAATGCATACATAACACTGTCCTTTACTATCTTCCCACCACTGAGGGAAACTTCAATATCACAAATTATCAGATTTGTCTCAATAAAACCATGACATGAAAAAATTAAATAGAATTATATATTGCTGCTAGTTTTGCTTCCAACATTCCGTTACTTTCTTTCTCTGTGCTATTGTGCTCAGAACTATTACCCAATCTTAGGATTCCTTTGTAATAGGTTCTTATTATCCCTTTCTCTACCCCTCTAATTACACTCTGTGAAGCCAAAAATTAAAACAACAAAACAAGAAACAATTTACTGTATGAAGGAGAAAAATATTGTAAAGAGTGCAGTAGGCAAGAAACACATGTCCCCTCAAGGGGGTTTATCTTTCATGGAAAATCATTACTTTGCAAAGAATTGAATTTTTAAAATTCTAACTAGTAAGCAAAGAAAAACCTGTACAGACATTTTTTCTTGACATAACTTACATTCACTGTATTAATTTTCAGTGTTTTCCTATTCTTCATTTACAAAGTCCATTTATTTCTGCCTGCTTCACAGATCGCGAGAACCAGTCGATCCTGATCACGTATGTACACTCCCTGCTCTGGTCCCTGAGGGGCTGCCTGGTGCCAGGGACCTCCTGCCTGACCACACGCTCTCTGCTTCTCTCTTTGGCTGCACAGCGGAGAATCCGGAGCAGGGAAGACTGTGAACACAAAGCGTGTCATCCAGTACTTTGCAACAATTGCAGCAAGCGGGGACAAGAAGAAGGAAGAGCAGACGTCAGGCAAAATGCAGGCAAATTAATAGACGCTGGCTGGAATCTACGCTTTTCTCTGCTTCTGATACAGTTTTTGGGAAAGATAACCAGCAATAATTATCATCCTGCAGGGAACGCTTGAGGATCAAATCATCAGCGCCAACCCACTGCTGGAGGCCTTTGGAAATGCCAAGACTGTGAGGAACGACAACTCCTCACGCTTTGTAAGTTGTTGACTGGAGAAGTTGACATTTAGAGTTGAACAAGGATGTCACAACAGAAGCTGTAACTTCTGAACTGTCATGGTCAGATGATTGAATTAATTGAACTAATATTTTTGTCAACTAAAACCTACCTAACTAGACTATTTAATTAAAAACATAACTTTAAAAGTGTAGTACAGCAAAGAAGTATATACAAATGGGGATTATTTAAAGATGTATGTCTATTATTTAATGTTTGTAAATATATATATGCATACTCCTGGTATCTGTCATACAGCCTGAATATACAAATTTGTGTGAATTGGTATAATGTAGAAGGAAGGGAGGGAGACAGGAAAAGACAAGATAGAAATTGCCTGCAGCAGATCAGCAAACATATAGATCTCTTTTTCTTTAGACACAGCACTAAGCAGGTCTATTAATCAGACATTGATAGACGTTTTCTGGAAAGGGATGACTTCAAGACATCCCATCAGAAACCAAACTAATCTATGATATGTCCTTTTGATACTTTTAATACAAAAAGACATTTGTAGAATTTATTAGATAACCTGTGAATGTCCTTGAGATATCACAATACAAATCCCCAGCCTTAGCTTAAAGTTCCATGTTCTGGGTGCGTTGCCCCTATCCCCCCCCACAACTCAGAAAGTAACAGCTGCCTTTTCATCAGGTTTTAAAAACTTCACCTAAAATTTATACCATCAAAATCCACCTTCATAGCTGAGTAAAACATGAAGCAACTACATCTTGCATTCTCTATACCCATCTGTTTGAATTGAGGCATAATTACAGTCCAAATGAAAGGCTTGATTACTGTTTTTCTTGTTCCTGTGCATTCAGAATTAGTATTTCTAGTATAGAGAGTTTCCTGATCTATTTTTTTTGTTTCACTTTACATTTTTTCAACAAAAACAAAAACTAATAACAAACAAAACAAGAACACATAACACACCCCACCCCACCCCCCCACCCCCCCAAAAAACCAAAACAAACCAAAAAAACCACCAAAACCAAGCAATACACCAGCTCTAAGTTTAAATCTTGTCCTCTGTGGAGAACATAAGGTTACACACTTACCATCTTAGTGAAATTTCAAAATGCCTTTTTTCTTTCCCCTCTAAAGGGCAAATTCATTCGAATCCACTTTGGGGCCACAGGGAAACTGGCTTCTGCTGACATTGAAACTTGTAAGAGACTTCCTGACCTGATCACATTCCTTCTTTCCTTTCCACCTCAGTGTACTTTCTCAGACCTAACTCTGTCCTACCATCCTTGCCAGATCTGCTGGAGAAGTCCAGAGTCACTTTCCAGCTCAAGGCAGAAAGAAGCTACCACATATTCTATCAAATCATGTCCAACAAGAAGCCAGAGCTAATAGGTATTAGAAATTGTTTGGTGGCATCTGAATGTCTTTAACATTTATCTTCATTCTTATGCCTATTCCTCTTTACAGACATGCTCCTTATCACCACCAACCCATATGACTACCAGTTTGTGAGTCAAGGTGAGATCAGTGTTGCCAGCATTAATGACCAGGAGGAACTGATGGCTACAGATGTAAGTGACACAGAGCATAATGGGAAGGTGAAAGTTCCTTTTAATGGTCCAGAGGTTTATTTGGCTGATAATGCTGCAGAGTGCCATTGACATCCTGGGCTTCACCGCTGATGAGAAGACAGCCATCTACAAGCTGACAGGGGCTGTCATGCACTATGGGAATTTGAAGTTCAAGCAGAAACAGCGTGAGGAGCAGGCAGAGCCAGATGGCACAGAAGGTATAAACAAAATCTAGAACTCCCAATAATAGAAACAGTTATATAGCTGGAAGCTGGCATTCAGGTATCTTGCTCCAAGTTACTTTCATAAAGACATAAATCTTATTGTCTACCATAATCATGTGTCTGAATTTCCCTTTGAGCTGTTATAAGGTTGCAGTGCTGAAACCTACAGCTACATCTAACATTGACTTTCAATGATCGCTTCTACTCTGTCACTGTCTCTTTGAGTATAGTTGCTGACAAGGCTGCCTATTTGATGGGTCTGAACTCAGCTGACCTGCTGAAGGCCCTGTGCTACCCCCGAGTCAAGGTTGGGAATGAATATGTGACCAAGGGTCAAACTGTGCAGCAGGTAACAACCACCTGGAGATTGGGAAGCTCTGTCTTGTTTTATTTTCTTGCTCTGGGTATTGTTTTCCTTATGCTTCATTCTTCTTTGTTTTAGGTGATCAATTCAGTGGGTGCTCTGGCAAAGGCTGTCTATGAAAAGATGTTCTTGTGGATGGTTGTTCGTATCAACCAACAACTGGATACCAAGCAGCCCAGACAGTACTTCATTGGTGTCCTGGACATTGCCGGCTTTGAGATCTTTGATGTAAGTACTACAGAAATCATAGTAAAATCTTGAAAAGGCACTTAGGCCTCAAGAGAAACTGGAGAATTCCAGTAGTTTTTTGAAAAAATTCCATTCACTTATAATTTCAAATCAAGGTTTGTGTGCTGGTTGAGTTGTCTTTTTTGTTTGTTTGTTTGGGGTTTTTTTTGTCTGTGGGGTTTTTTTTTGTTGTTTGTTTTGGGGGGGGGGGGTTGTTTGTTTTGTTTTTAATTATTAGTATTTTAATTTTTATTTTCTGGAAATGTTTTCCTCCTTTTATATGTCACTGTTTTTTCTCCAGGACAGTCCATGGGCTTCAGTGGATCTGCATGTAATAGCTTTATGCAATACACATTATTATTAAGCTTAGTATTAAGAAAATCCACTGACAAAAGTGCACGAATACTGAATCATTGTGTAGGAAGAGAAAGGTAGACTTGAACCCCACTCACAAAACTCGGCCAAGGCTTTGGAAAAAGAGACCAATATATATCCTTTCCTTCTGAAGAGTCAAAGGGTGATTCCCTGAGTCCAAGCCAGAACTGACAAACTTTGACAATGTCTAATTTTTTCATAAGGGCAATGGGAAAATTTACATAATATGACAGAACAGAGTAATGTAAATTGCACCTTGATAGGGATAAGACTAACAAATCATTTTGGAATCTGATTTGAAAAAATAAATATGTAAATATTATTCAGGTAGCAAAGAGCAAAAAAACCCCAATCTCTTTAAAAGTAATTAATTAAATGCTTTAACATTAAAAAACAACCTTTGTTTTAACTAGGCTTCCCCTGTATGTGATTCTAAGTGTGCAGAAGGAAGCTATACAGGTGGTTCTTCATCTTGAGAATGATTAAATCTTGTCTTTGCACTGAGCAGTTCAACAGCTTGGAGCAGCTGTGCATTAACTTCACCAATGAGAAACTGCAGCAGTTCTTCAACCACCACATGTTCGTGCTGGAGCAGGAGGAGTACAAGAAGGAAGGAATTGAATGGACATTCATTGACTTTGGGATGGACCTGGCTGCCTGCATTGAGCTCATTGAAAAGGTACCCTTCCTGTTCAGGTGCATTGTGCATCTGGGAATTCTTTTGTTACTTGGCATCAGTTTCCAGAGGACTCTTCCACATTCACATCCAAACATTCAGTTATTCAAAATAACTGAATATGTAGCTTATTTTGTCCGTGAGCTCATTGAAAAAGTGTGTTGATGCATTCAAGATTTTGTTATTTCTTCTTTGTGACAGAATTATAGGATTTTCTTCAGCTTTATTTTTTCTTGCCCTAAAGCTTCACAAAACTACCTATCATTATCCATCATAGCCATATCTGGCTCTTTGACTTCAAAAAAACTTTGGGTACCTTTTCATTTCAAATATTGATTTTATTCATAAAGCAATTTCTGAGGACCCTTCTAATTAGGCTACAAATGAAATAACTTTAGTCTACCTATTAACCACATTATTATGCATTTTTTTAAAAAATAACTGTAATTTTGCTTATTTGGCAAAAGCGATAGAAGATAACGTGATCACACATAATCTGATGAGAAGGATTCACTGTAGGAGTGTTTTCTAGTCTACAAAGATGAAAGATCTCTTTTCAGAAGTCCAGACACAGTTTTCAGTATTATGATAATAATGTTAATACTGTGATTTCTGAAACACAATTTCAGAGTGAAATCATAGATGTATATAGAAAAAGGTACTGGATGAACAGGGATGAATAAAACCATCACTAGGAGCTGACCCCATTTTGTGTAAGATCATTCTGTACAGGAATAAAAAGGCAGAGATAGCTCATAAGAAATAAAATTTCAGGAAGTAGCTGAAAGATCTGTTGATTTGTTGAACAAAAGACAGTTTTAGTAAGACAGTTCCATCTACAAAAATCTACATCATGAAAGCATTAATACAGAAAATAAAAATCTCCTTTTGAGTCATCAGTTTCCAAATTATTTAGAAAACTTTGTGTGATGACTGTGACACTATCACTTCTGAAATACATTATTCAGACAAAAATTCATCTCTTGTCTAGAACTTCATGTGAAAACTAAACAAAGATTTGATCCACTTTTTGATCAAAAGATGTAATCCATTTCTCAGCTTCCTGTGCCTTACTGCAGTCTCCTTCCAAAGGCAAATATGAATTTCACTGCTGTCATTTTTTTGCTGCTTCTCCCAGCCTATGGGTATCTTCTCCATCCTGGAAGAGGAGTGCATGTTCCCCAAGGCAACTGACACCTCTTTCAAGAATAAGCTCTATGACCAGCATCTGGGCAAGTCCAACAACTTCCAGAAGCCCAAGCCTGGCAAAGGCAAGGCTGAGGCTCACTTCTCTCTGGTGCACTATGCTGGCACAGTGGACTACAACATCACTGGCTGGCTTGAGAAGAACAAAGACCCCCTAAATGAAACTGTCATTGGGCTGTATCAGAAATCATCCGTGAAGACACTGGCCTTACTTTTTGCCTCTGCTGGTGGAGAGGCAGGTCAGTTCTCCAAAATCTCGTCTCTGTTGCACAGTGGTTCATCAAAATTGTGGAATCATGAATGAGTTCCAGAGCCATAAATGTTTCATTATCTTTACTTTATCAGAGGCTAGTGGTGGTGGTGGAGGCAAGAAAGGTGGCAAGAAGAAGGGTTCTTCTTTTCAGACTGTCTCAGCTCTTTTCAGGGTAAGCAAACACTTTATCTTTTCATCTATGCAAATTAAAATTAAACTGCACTTTGAAATGGCTCAACAACAGTTAAAAAAAAAAAAGAGAAAAAAGTTAAAAACTTTTGCTCAGATTTTTATATATATAAAAAACAACCCCACCCCACTTATGGAAGAAAAATGACCCTATAATGTCCTAGACTTTCACTTAAAATACACATTAATTTTCTCATAAAATTAAGAAGTACTCACCTTCTATCCCGCATTGAGTTGATGGCAACTTTTTTTCCTACTCTAAAAGATGATGTTCAATGTATAGAATCAGAGGGCCATGAGCTATTTACTGAGGTATCAGTTGATAATTTTCATCAGAGAGCATCTTCACTGATAGGCTTTTATGCTAAGTTCCCAGAATTTAAGTGTTAATTTTTCCATATTTCATATAAACACACACTAAACCATGGTCCAACAGGAGAACCTAAACAAGCTGATGAC